TTCTGGTTGTATTAAAGTCTGGGAAACATTATCAAACACTTGTAAATATGGGTATTTTTGGAATCGTGGTGACCTTAAGAGACCGTGAAACGATGTCCGACGCCATTTTGAAACCCAAGATGGCGGCTTCTGGTTATAATAAAATCTGGGAAACATTATCAAACACTTTTAAATATGGGTATTTTTGGAATCGTGGTGATGTCTAGAGATCGGAAATCGATGCCCGACGCCATTTTGAAATCCAAGATGGCGGCTTCTGGTTGTATTAAAGTCTGGAAATCATTATCAAACACTTTTAAATATGGGTATTTTTGGAATCGTGGTGACGTCTAGAGATCGGAAATCGATGCCCGACGCCATTTTGGAATCCAAGATGGTGGCTTACGGTTATACAAAATCTAAAGATTAATGTCCGGTCTCTAGAACTCACCACACTTCCAAAATACCCATATTGAAGGGTATTTGACAATGTTCTCTAGATTGTTTACAACCAGAAGCCGCCATCTTGGATTGCAAAATGACGTTGGCCAGGCATAGAAAATCATTTGCATTCATTTGCCTCTAACTTTCTTCATCAACAGCATTCCGCAAAATAATGTAGGGGAAATGACGGCTTCGGCATGCCAGACTATTTTCGGCAACCCAAATTGAAACACTATTTTCACTGGATTTTCCTACGAAAACACTTCGCTGAATGCATTTAAACGATTCTTTATGCTTTCAGCTTCAATTTGACTATATTTTTACCACTGAGAAAAAGCAATCTAGCAGGGTTTTCTTGAAATGAAACACACGCACTACAAATTGTAGCTGATTTCGAGTTGCCGATAATAGAACAGCAGATTTACATGCAGTTCAAATGGAACGGTTGCCGAAGAAAAACTGGTTGCCGACAATACTCGCTCTCACTAGAGAAGATTGGAGCTTTGTAAAAGCGTTTCAAAACTGTTTTTGACAATTCTTTCGACTGAAATTGTTAGAGCAGCTGGCAGCAAAAAAATTGTAAACAAACCAATTCTGCATATGTGTGCGTTCCATAGAGAAAAAGGCTATAGAAAGAAGGTCGCTGCTTAGGTTGCCGAGAATACGTAAATTCCCCTATATAGGTTTTGTAGGTTTTGTTATTAGCTACAACTTTTGTTAACAAGTCAAATCCGTATCTTTGATGCATGACGAACCAGAGCGAACAGAAGCCATTACTGTTTTTCAGTTAATGTATTTTAAATTCACTGAAAACAGTAACAACTTCTGCCCGGTCTAGTTCGTGATGCATAAGAGATACAGATTTGACTTGTTAACAAAAGTTGTAGCTAATAACTAAACCTACAAAAGCTCTATACATCATTTTGCGGAATACTGTTGATGAAAAAAGTTAGAGGCAAATGAATGTAAATGAATGTATGAAATGAATGTAAATGATTTTCCATGCCTGATGTTGGCCATCGATTTTTGGTCTATGGACGTCAACCCGATTCCAACATACTCATATTGAAGGGAATTTGACAATGTTTCCCAAACTTTGATACAACCAGAAGCTGCCATCTTGGATTTCAAAATGGCGTCGGATAACAAATTCTGGTCTCTAGACGCTACAGCGAGTCGAAAAATACCCATATTGAAGGGTATTTCATAATGTCTCCCAGATTATTTATACACGGGAGCCGCCATCTTGGATTTTAAAATAGCATCGGACATCGATTTCCGGTCTCTAGACATCATCTTGACTGCAAAAATACCCATATTGAAGGGTATTCATCAATATTTCTCAATTATAATGTAACCGGAAGCCGCCATCTTGGATTTAAAAATGATGGTGAACCAAGGGGTAAGTCACTCAGCACATTGTACCGGAACTATATTCTACACAGCTTGGGCACATCCATCGGCACATTTTCAGCATACCTTCGGCACAATCTCGTAGGCATTAGATTGTTGTAAATAAAATGGGAGCACTGCTGGACAACTGTCATTGAAGTTGTTCAGACAATTACGTGCTGTTTGACTGTATGTTCAGGAACTTCTTCTAATTGAATATACCAGAGAAACTAAGACCAGCAGTTCACTTATAGATCTCAATACGAAATGTAGGTTCTAGAGTGGACTCAAGAGGAAAAGGCAGTTAATCAGACTTCATTAGTACATTTAATTCAAATAATGCTGCAACTCACACAACACAAAATAATAAAGGAAGATAAGATAAGATACAACACAAAATAAAGAAGTCTATTACCCTCTATAGTCTGTATCCAACAATACTCCTCCACTGCTTCCAACTCTTTCCGGCTGAAAGGCTAGGTTTCTGGTCTGCCTTTGAGGGCATTATAAAACACTAGAAAAGTATGGACGACTGTCGCCACAAAACTGGAAAAAGCTGTTCCAATCGAGCAAAGCGGTGCATTTTGACGGTTCGATTGGAACAACTTTTGACAGACGTCCATACTTTTACTGTAGGGCTTTATCTATGACCGGCACAATCAGCATACTTGCGGCACACTGACAAAAAAAGATGACCCAAAATTGGTGTGCGGAGTGACCTACCCCTTGTGGCGAACATTGTGTCCGGTATTTACACGTCATCTTCGTTCTTAAATAGACCTTTTTGACGTTTAATCGTCTTTCTCTATCTAGCACACAAGAATTAATGGACGGTTTGTTTTCCCACTAATCGGTTTCCCTCTTGCTCGCACTCCGTCGATTTAAAAGGTGCAGTAGTGTGCGCCGATTAAACGTCAAAAAGCTCTATATCCATAAGGGCAGAAATCAATTTCCGGCATCTACACTTCGTCCCCGGTCCGAAATATAAATATTGATTCAGATTGGAATGTTTTTTATGTTGACCATTTGGGAGGTGAATTGTCCGTTGTTCAGTAAAAAATGTATAATTTCGAACTATCATTGATACAGATAGAATCCCCATCTCTATCATGTGATAGTTCAAGTTCAACTATCAGATGGACAATTTATCATGATAGCAATGGAAAATGATATTGTTTCTATGTCTCCTTTCCCATCATTGATTCTATCTATCATTTTTTCTATCATGATAGTATCAGAGATGGGATAGAGGTTCTATCAACAATCAATACGAAACTAACGATTTTAAATTGGCTCACTACTTGACTAGCCTATTGGTCCCAAGCAAACGATTAACGTACACCATTCTAGTCGAAATTCTAGTACTACGTAATGTTTGTTTTGATTCACTATGAAAGTTTGACAAATAAAATGAGGGGTTATTGTTTTTTCTATGTTTCGAGGGGTGAATCGATTAACTTGGGACCGAAGATAGTACCAGAGCTGAGCCAAAAAGTTGAGCTCGTTTCTTCGGGACCTTCTGGTCTTAGAGTTACCTTTATGGTTCTATCATGATAGATTGACAGAGAGTCTATCAAATAGAAACCTAAATTTGTGATAGACCTCTATCTGATAGATGATATTATGACCATTTATCAGATAATGTTGATGCCTGGAAGGGGAACGGAGTTAGTTATTACCATTTTCAATGGGATTACTGTTACGACTACTGGATCAATCGATGCTGATGGGATCGTTACATAATAGGTGAAACTGCAGATGTTTAGAAGAATAGCTGTTTGGAGAGCTTGTTTGATCATCGATGATCCTTTTGAAGTCACCACTGGGACTGGCTGCTGAGGAGGAAGAACAACTGCTGAAAGCTGGCTGGAACTGTAAGTTCTTGCTGGTAGTAAGCAGCATAGGCGTAGCCAGAGCAACACAAAGGCTTTCGGTAAAATGGCATTCGGCCAAATTTTCTATAGTAATTTTTTGCCCCTCCCTAGCATGAAAATCTGGCTACGCCCTTGGTAAGCAGGCACCGGCACAGGTTCTTCCATAATATTCAAGCTTTTCGAAAGCCTCAGGATACACTTGGGCTTATAAGAGAACCATATTCTTAAAGAGAGTAAACGGAGTAAGAAGAGAGAAAAAAAATCGATGAACGTCGAATAAATATTGAGGTACATTAAGTTACTCGCTGCAAATAAGCAACTCAGAGTAAACCTGTCTTACCCCTTGTCTCATCCCTTTGATTAAAGCTGACTATGCCCTTGTTCGGAATTCTCCTTTGAGTTTTGATTAAACTTATTTTGGAATTATTGTTAGAATTAGATTCGAGGAATTCGTAGTATTCTATTTTCTATATTGTTAAGGCTCAATATCTCTTATATAGAGCTAAACGGAGCATACAAATATATGTTTAATACAATCACAGACAAACAGACGTAACTAGTGGGGCCGATTGTGCAGTGGTAAGCGTGATTGCCTTTCACTCCAAGGAGCCTGGGTTATCCTGAGGCATAACATCTTAGTAATAATTTCTTCAACCCGCAAATTTGCTTGATCGGATTTAACATTTTTGGAACTGTTCCTGTGAGTGTCTATAGCATAGGCTGTGAGACTAATTTCTTATGCTTTTTGTGACTGAACACGATATTTTTTTTTATTATTACAGTCACTTTAACACTCTTGGGTCATTCGTGACTTGTCCGGGGATGAAATTTAAAGTCGTGACTTTGGCCGGGACCGTCCTCCGAATACGATTAATGTCATTGTAAATAATCTATCAGCTCATCAGAGCTATTTGCTTTGTATATCAGTATCTACGAGATCCTCAAAATCGCTAGCTAAGAAAAATAAAATAAAATCTTGATTGTTTGATATTCAGCGCTTACAAATTTTCACATTAAGAATTGAAATCGCAGTACAGCTCATGCATGATTTTTCATAAAATATAATTTTCATATCAGTCTTAACGTTGACTATCCTTTCGTTCCGTAGCTTTTAGTAAATCGTATCTAGAATAGTGGTAGTATAGTAAGTAGTGTATAGACACATGGAACCGTATATGTATTCCTACTGAGAGTATAAATTCTAACGATCACGATTAAACGATTTACTTTTAACTATTCCATTGTAAATGTTTGCAAATTTCCATCCGCCGTTTGAATGAAATGACCCGCGATTCGATGGAACGACATCAGACATCCGTACGAGGACTTCGAATATTTTCTGGCAGAAAAGATACACCTGTGATAAACTAAGCAGATACAAGTGAAACGTAAAGGTGGGAGTAAAATTTCACAAAACAAAAATAAAAGCACAAAGCATAATATCAACAACCAAAGAAGCGTTGAAACAATAACAAAATAGCCCAAAAGTGTACCATATAGCAAGAGCAACAACTATCCAAAACAGAAAAATAAACATGGTTCAAAACTGATTGTTTTAGAGCAGCAGTAAATGTGTGTGTATAGGAGAAAATGTCGTACCTATAATTGAACAGAAAGCAAACACCTATACCATAAAAAAAACGAAGCTGAATCACGCTAATAGAAAAAATAGAGATGGATGTACTAAATAGAAGCTTGGCAGATTGTGAAATTTAAAGTTACCAAAGTTAATCCGACATGTTACTAATGAAACTAGAAAACAGAAGCAAATGACGTAAAGTGAAAGCTACTAAAAATTAGGAAGGAAAATGTTATCAAAACATCCGCGGTAACCCACCATTACTCGAACATATAGTGAGATTTTAAAGTTTGGAACAGCATTTTAGTGGAAATCAAATTTTTAATAAGTAAACCTATAATCAACCACATAAACCAGTTCCGGCAATCTATACCCTTGCTAAAATTCTATACCAACTCTTTGAAACTCTCCATTGTAACCTTCGATATGGCAGACACAAAAAAAAAACAATAGCTACTAACAATCACTCCTCTGCATTCACTAACCATACCTAGAAAATCAAAACAATAACTAACCACATTCAAATCAAATAATATCCAAACTGTAGCCCTTACTAAAATCAAAGTAGTGATAACAAAACAAAAAAATAAACTCAAATCTATCGCAGTTAACTATTCACGAACAAAACAAAAAAAAACACACACACACACAGAGAAACAACTAGTGAGCATATTGGTCAAACCAAACATATTAACCAGAAACAAAAAGAAAAACACGTTCTATGACCCACTTAGCAGAAGCAAGTGAATAATTTTCCGATCTATCGATCCAAAACATAGCAAAGACAGAAGAACAAGACTTATTGTGATTGTTGTTAACGGAAACTTTGATAATATGTTGTTTCTATAAAGAATTTTATATACTTTCCCTAACGCTACTACCCGATGTATTACAATTTCGAGTACCGAGTCATTCTCATTCATACCATTGCTATTTTAAGCAAGCGATGATGAAGAAAAACGGACAGTGACGAGCACAAAACATCTTTCATTTTGGGGTTATCTTTCTTATTTTGACAATAAGACGCAATGCAAATACGAAAACAACCAATATATTTTGAAAACAGTGGAACATAGGCATATTCTTCGATAATGGTTGACGGTCCTAGGATTCTTCGTTTTCGGAATAGGAACTACTGCAACATGTTTCCAATCAGATGAAATCTTATTCTTGGTCCACACCTTTACCAGGAGCTGATGAAGTTCACTGATAGCAGTACTATCGCAGTAGCTAAAGAACTCCGCATAGAGGGAATCCACGCCTGGAGTCTTCCCATTCTTTAAGCCATTGACGATGTGTTGTACTTCCCTCAGAGTTGGAGCAGATAGTAATTCAGATTCTGGTGATTCTGGAAGTAAGTCCGGGATAAGAGACGGAGCATTGGCATCCACAACCCAGTCATTCATGCGGATAACGGAGGAGGAATTTTTGAAAGACTTCTTTTTTTGAATCGCTTCAAACATCGGAAGGTTCGATTTATGCGTTCACCGGCCGCTGAAGAAAAGTCCAATTTCGCTCTCTTCGTATTCTCAACCGGTGGAAACTAACGATTTAAAATTGGCTCACTTCTTGACTAGCCTATTGGTCCCAAGCAAATCGATTAACTTACCCCATTCTAGTCGAAATTCTAGTACTACACAATGTTTGTTTTGATTCGCTATGAAAGTTTGACAGATAAAGTGAGAGGTCCGTGGATTTTCCTATGTTTCGAGGGCTGAATCGATTAGCTTGGGACCGAAGATAGTACCAGAGCTGAGCCAAAAAGTTGAGCACGTTTCTTCGGGACCTACTAGTCTTAGAGTTACCTCTATGGTATTCTCCCGAGCCTCAGCCATCTTGTGAGTCCATTTGGGGCGTGCAGAGCGATTTGCACAAAAAAACAAATTTCCTTACGTCAGCAGAAGCTTTGCGACACTCCCTGGTAGGTGGAATAGATGATGTCTTCTTTAGAACAGCATTTGCGGAATCGTGTACTTTCGTTTTCTGCAGCTGCCAGGAATCTTCTACGGTAAAGGCTGACTAAAACGAGGGGGACGACTCTATCTACGATGCAGGAAATATTGTGTTTTGCTGTGGCTAGCTGCGCGTACGCTGAGTAGATAGAATTAAGATTTATCACGATTTTGAAGATTTCCCGCAAAAAGATAATGCACGATGCTAGTAGATGTGAGAAATGAAAGAAGATTGTTCGAAGATTTATTCGCTAGTGTGAGATTTTTGAACATCTAGAATTGAGATTTAAATGTATCGCCCCCCTCGGACTAAAAGTAAATTGGTACGCACAAAAAGACCTGTAATTCGTGATTCAATAAGTGTAACAAGTACATTAATGGTTACTTTACAGTACTTTTATTAAATCCTCAAAGTTACAGCATTAGATGGTTACATTTCTCCAGTTCGAACGAAATCTCGAACCTTCCTCTTCATGGAGCCCATCAGTGCCCGCACAGTGGAAACGGACACGGAATCCTTCCATTTTGCCCAGATTTGTTGAATGTCCTTGATGTCGTCGAAGTCGCTGCTTTGAAATTGGCCATTATTTTTCGATTGTTCAAAATTCCGAGCAATTCGGAGGATGTATTAGCTTGGGAACAAAATCGATCTTATTGGCAGCATACCACTCCAGAACAACCTTGGACAACAAAAGATGACTTTGCCCCTATGCTTGCGGATGAACGGCAATACACGCTTTTTCAGGCATTATTCGATGTAAACTTGGGATGTCATCATCGAGGATGTGACGAATGGTTCCGTTTTCAGGCCACAACTGCAAATCGCTTACCAAGGCCTTATTCGCGAACTTGTCGGCAAACACGAACTTGAATCTTCCCGGTACATCCCCACGTCCAGTCGCGATGTAAAACTTATGACCGGGAAGCTGCTTGAAATCGAGTTTGACTTATGTTTCGTCGATCAAAGTGCAGCCCTTGTGTTTCGTCAAAACACGGCCGTACAAGAGCCTTGCACGCTTTTTGGCCACGGAATACTGCTTCATGTGCCGGTTCGGATGTTTACTGGCTTTGGACGACTTGTATCCTTCCCTGGCAAGGATGTTCCGCTCCGCACCGAAAGTTGGCGTTGTACTTTCTGGTCACATCTAGGATCGAAAGACCGGGGTTGGCTTTAACGCACCTCAACACTTTGCTGCTCAGTTGACGATCCCTGGTTCCAGTTTTTTCGTAGGTCCGCTGATTCCTTTCCACACTTAGGGCTTCCTTGTAGGTTTTGAGCACTCGGAAAACTATTGTTTTCGGCATCTTCAGCACTTAAACCAGTTTGGAACCGGACCAATCCGGATTTTCCAGGTGTTTGTGCACAATATTTTTTCTTCTTTCGAGTTCCATTTGACGTTATTTCTGAACGCGATCGACTACTTTTATCAAACTTGCACCAGTTGTGCTATATAGAAGTGTAAACAAACCACTCTCAAAGACAGCGTTGCCAGGTCATTTTCAGAAAAATCTGGACCAGTTTAAATATAAAATCTGGAAAAAATCTGGAATGCTCGAAAAATTTTTGAAGTTTCAGGATCTTGAAGTGATTCTAAATTCTGGAGTTTATATTTTTCTGGATTTACTTAGAACTCTTCACAGGATATCTTCGTCTTTTTTCAGAGTTCCATTTGAATCATCCTAAGAATTCCATCACACTTTGATCGCGCACGGGTGGGATTCCTACGCTGTGTTGATATGAAAAGAAATAAAGCACACCGATTGTTCGGCCGTCCTGCCATGGCGGAGGCATGTGAGATACTGTTTATTGTTTTGTATGAGGTTTTGTAGTCTGTAGTATCGATACAGTGTGTAAGGTAAATGTACATATGTATGACGTTGTACAAACACACTTCTTTTCTTGATTCCCTTAAAATAATCTTGATATTGCTGATTGCATCTGAAACTGGACTGTCAAAATGCGAAAAGTGTGATAAAAGTGCACGTTTCCGTCAAATCGTTTTGATATCTTATTGCTTGCATCATAAGGAATAAGTGCACCGAAGACACAAAGTCGATTAGACGTAAACTTGCAGTTTTATCACTCTTTTTAATAAGTGAAAACGCGCTTATTAGTCCAATTTGGTGTGAAACGCGCAATAATATCCAAACTTTTTAAGTAACATTCTAAGAGTTCTTAGCATTATCTCTTGTAATCTTTTATAAATCACTCTCAGATTCAACAATTCCCTCAAACTGGTAACTCTATGAACTAGTCTTTCTCTATTAAATTCCCTTAGAATATTCATAATAATTTCCTTGATACAATCTTCAGAATGACCGTCACACTCTTCTCAGACTCATCCGATAATTACCTTTGAACTGCTTTGTAGGTAAGGTCAGAATTGTTTTGAAATCCACTTTAGTTTTTTTCTATGTACTCAAGTACTTTGTCAAAATGGACTTGAAAGTCTTCCAGAAATTGCCTGATGTTCTTTTCGCATAATTCGGTTTAATTTTTTTTATAATTTGATAAATTCCATTGAAATTATTCTAACGATTCGTATCAGCATACTCCTTAAGTTTCATCTTAAGAATTTTCTATGATATCTCTTCCGAATTCTAACTATTTCCTTTATTCACAAAATCTCCATGCAATTGTCATCAGAGCTTTTAAAACACAATTTACACCGTTTTCAACCAGAGGTTGCACGGACTGCATACCTAACACTAGACAACTGACAACACACCACACTAGTAGGGAAATTTTCAGGTTGCGAAAAGTTACACCGGCTGGAGCGGGAATCACAATACGCCTGAACGACGGGTGACGCCGCACGACCACGAAGATTTTTTTCAGCCAATAAATCTTTAGAAAATGTTCCAATTTTCATGGTTCTGCAACCCATTGCAAACCTGTTGTAACAATTCCATGTACGATGTTGCAATAATGTCCAACGTTGATGGCCTTTAATAAATAAAGTAGTAAGTTTTTTATATTTTTTGTTTAGACGGTCCTTCAATTGCAGTGATATTTTTAAAGCAACATATTTAAAAAAAATCTGGGAAAATCTGGAACATATTTAAAAAATCTGGAAATATACGTGATCTGTCTGTGTATTTGACAAGACGACTGAAAATCTGGAAAATCCAGATAAATCTGGAATACTGGCAACGCTGGTCAAAGATTTTCGATTCCCAACACTAGCGGCGTGCTAGCGGCGCGCGAGGGGCGTACCAATTTACTTTTAGTCAGACTTTACTCGATGAAACAGAGATCGGAACCGCTGTGCTCAGTTGAGTTTGAAACTTTTTCTGAATATCAGGCCTAGGCATGGAAAATCATTTACATTCATTTCATGCTCTCATTAGAGCGGGCAGAACTTGTTACTGTTTTTCAGTGAATGTAAAATACATTCACTGAAAAACAGTGGTGTCTTCTGTTCGCTCTGGTTTGTCATGCTTCAGAGATACGGATTTGAGTTGTTAACAAAAGTTGTAGGTAATAGCAAAACCTACAAAAGTTCTAAACATCATTTTGAATAATTCTGTTTAATAAAAAAGTTAGGGGTAAATGAATGTAAATGAATGCACAAAATGAATGCAAATGATTGTGACCATGCCAAGAGTCTTGAGAAGAGATGGATCCAATGTGTATTTTGATCTCGTGAATGGACTTTGTTTCAATAGAGCTTTGTCCGCAGTAAGAGCAGGTTTACACCGGCTTTCGACAATATTGCATAAAAGTAGCTTATGATCGGTGGATAGAGTATTTGGCAACATGCATTGTAGATGCCGGAGAAACAAACCGGATCGAAGGGAGGTTAACAGATGATCTACCTGACTGCGGTGAATTCCATTGGGCCACGTCTATCGAAAACTATGATTAGAATTGAGCTGAGTAGAACGTACTACCAATTCATGTAGACGAAGAAAAAGTCGCATCTGCAAACCGTTCTCGTTAAAATGTTCGTGACCGGCGTACTTCCGATAAACGACGGTTGAAGTCGCCTGCTAGGAGAAGGTATTGAGTGAATATTATAATAAATATATGAAAACAAGCAAAACATAAAAAAGGATACCTGATACGAGATTTCTGCATGTTGAATATTAGACCCGGAAAAGATACTCTTTTGAAAAACAACGTGGACTCCATGACGAATCAAGATTGCTAGGCCCCTCTTTCT